GGGAGGGAGCGAGTGCCCCTTGGGGTGGCTGCCGGTACAGCACTGGCCCGCGCTGCTGCCGCCACGCTTCGGTGCCAGACTGCTTCATCCTGTCCTGGTCAGGCATGGCTTCGCTTGGTCTGGTTTCTTCTGCATCTTTCTCAATTTCTGCCTCGCTAGGATGCCCTCTGACGCCTGTTTTTCCTCGCTGTTGTCGCCTTCTCTGAGACATTCTAGCATAAGTTGCCGTTTATGAGAACCAAGCTGTACTCAGCTCTTCTAGTTCAGGAAAAGCTTTCAGCCCTGCCTTGTTTTCTTTTCCATTGACTGTACAAAAGCTACAAAGTGCCTTGTCTTCTGTTGGAGTATCTTTGATTAGCTAAAATTGGGTGATTACTGTAAAATACACTTTTGATCCTACTGCAGGTAAATAAATGTACCTTTGAAGTAATCTTCCTTTGTTTGACCCTCACTGCAATGCTCTAGCCTGTTTTTCTAGGAGAATTTGTAGCTATGCAGGTTCCAAAATATTTGATGTAAGAGGAAGTAATTTTTTCTGGTGCAGTTTTTTTTACCACAGAGCAATCAAGATAAAATGCAACTCTGGGAAAGGCGACCCTGGTCCAGTAGTAAAATGAACACAGTTAAAAGTACTTTGCAGTACACATCTTAATTTCCCATGTATATCTGAAGTCATAGTACTGATAATAAGACTTTTCCCTGTGGTTTGGGTATCAAGGTGTTTTATGTTCCATATTTCTGTTGTATGTTAAAAGTGTTTCTAATAATCATAAAGAATATGTTGCTCTTTATAAAATACTTCTACCGTTTGATCATTTTTCTGGTTTCCATTTAGAAAGAATACATGACACAACATAAAAATGGATCAGAAGAACATACGTAGTAACCAAGATAATCAATGTTTGCCAAGGATGACCCTTTTAAATTGACACTTTCAGTTTTATTCATGAGTTCTGAGAGTTGTCAGGCCTGCAGTTTGTATAAAGTTGGTTTTGGTAACAGTTTTCTGGAACATCCCTCTTTTGCTATTCAAAATGGGAAACAGACATGACCAGTGGAGCTGTTAAGTCACTTCAGTGCCTGTCCTAAGTAAAATTAATGAGGGGATTGTTAGTTTGTTTGCTTATTCCCCCATGTCAATATGTCTGTGTTCACTTGTTTAAAGGCTTTCTCAACCGGGGCTGATTGCAGTCCTTGAAGAAATTATTAATCTAGTTGATAAAGGAAGCTAACTAAATGCAATATACCTAAAGTTATGTAAAGCAACTGACATGAAATTGTCTTGGCCCCTGTTGATATGTATGTGATTTGGGGTGATTCAGTATAAATAAAGTGGAATTTAAAATAATTTGGGAATTGTGAAGTAATATTTCTGCGGAGTCTTCTGGCGGTTTGGACAACGAATAATTCTACTGTGTTTATTTCATTATGTGTGTAACTTGTGTTACATTAGCTTGTCTTAAAATTTTTGATTACCCTGAAAATTAGTAGTGATTAAATAGTTATAAGGATAAGCAGTCACGTGAAGATATGGCATTGCTTGTTAAGCTGGTAGTGTGCTTTAAATAAACCAAGTGAAAAGTTGTGTGTCTAGTGTCAAATTTCTAAGTTTGTTCCATTACAACTAATTTAAGGGAGAAATACCCTAAAAAGACCATTCTGCTGCTAGTATCTGCTACTCAATTTATTAAAAGCTATATTTGATACTGAATGCAATATGTATAGACGCAAAATTTTCTTGGAAAGGCAAGTTTTACCTGTTTTACCATAGCATATACTTAATTAGCTGTTTGTTTTTTTCTCTTCTGATCCAGGTATTTACGCATTTGTAGATGTTTGGTCATCTAACAGAACAGAAAATTACTCAAAAACCTTTGAACAGCAACTTCTTGATATGGGAGCAAAAGTAAGGGAACTATTTTGAAATAGAGTAGGAAAGCTATTAATTACAAATGAGCTTGCATGTTCTGTTTATTGTGTTATTTCTTTGTAATACGAGTTTTTGAAGTGCAGGAAGAATGGTAATCAGACCCGAGAACAGGCAAGCGTGCTGTAAAATTATTACTAGTGACATATGGGAAGTGATTTTAAAGCCTTCCTATGTCTGTAAGCCTCTGTATATTAATGATAGTATGCATTTGTTGTGAAGAATTGGGCTTGCCACATACTGTGGGCAAACCAAGTCTTAGTGTTGAAAACCTGTGGTTTACAAGTATGTACCTTATGTTGTTTGTTTTCTTTAACTTCTAGGCAGCTGCTCTGTTGTTACTACAATATTTCCTAACCCCAAGTACCATGACATTTTACTCTGCCGTGCATTCTCCTACAAATGTGATTCAACTGCAGGAAGTGCTAGTAAAAATATGTCTCTGATTTTTTTTTTTTTCCTGTATCAAGTATAGCTGACTTGTAAGTGCAAAATACGTTTAATTGCCAGCTGTAAAATTTCAGAGACCAAAGACAAACTGGCATCTTCCCTTCTCATGTGTTTATAACCAGTTAATGGAGAGTTTTACAGCTCGCATCATGCTCTAAATAAGTTGTGTGAACTCCTCATGCTTTTTAAGTGGGTAGGTATATCTTACTGTAATTTAGGAAATTTTGCTAATCTCCCTAAAGCCTCTTTTTCTGTACGAATTTAGCTGAGAGCATGACAGAACAGTAGAATAACTAGTTTTATTATAAAATCAAATACAACTCAATGAATAACTTGAGTAAAATATATTTCTGATGCTTTTGTGCTGTACTATCAGAACTATGGTATTCTGATGTTAGGGTTTTTACATAGAAAATATGACATCATGAGACCTCAAAATTTGAGTTGATCAAAATGTAACTGATATGGTGAAAGATATAGGCACATGATACCGATGAGCCTTTTAGCAGATCCCCTTCCCTATTACTGGTTTGAGCTGATTCAGCAAGCTAAGGTCAGGTGAGCAGCAGAGAACATCCAGTGTAAGAGAGGAGACAGGAGAGGTGAGAAGGAGGTGTAAGGTGGTGTTCCTCCATAATTTGGTGGCAAAGCTACATCGAGCATTTGTCTCCTTAGGGCATGGGCTGTGAGCCAGATAATACCATAAGCGAGTAAGCAATTGTATCTGGAGTCATAATTTACTCCAAAAGAGATTCTTTGGTCTTGTATAACTAGATACTTAAGTATCATGTGGTTTTTATCTTCCAAGAAGCAATAAATCAGCTTGCCACCAGAACTTTTTGGAAAAGCTGAATAGTTTTCTTAAAGCCAAATATAGATCAATCATGATAGGAGCCAAGTATAGTGATGCAATTGAGACTGCAACAGGAAGCTACACAGCTACTTCCATTTGGCTGTGCTGAGAAGATGCTGCTGTAAAATATGAATTGTAATGATCTCATGTCAACAATCACAACAACTGATCAAAGAGTTTTATATGTAGGATGTTTAGTCTCCACAAAAGGAAACTTTGATTGTAAAGAATGGGATATCTCGAGCTAAAAAGGTTATTGTTTAATTGTCAGTAGAGGCTGATAACTGAAGATTTGATCAGTTGTATGACACAATGAAAATGTCAAGTAGGATAGTAGCTGTACTGACTTAAGTTTTTTGCGTTTCTCACTTTTTAAAGTGTTCCCATATAAATTTTTTCTTGGTAGTAGCTTCAGCCTTCCCTCAAAACTAAGTGATCTTTATTGATGAGAATTAGTTTAAAGGAATAGGTTAACTGTATTCTTTAAGCATGGGAATTCTTTGCTAAGTAAAAGTGTAATTTGACATTTCTTTGGATAATGGCGACTACTTTCTGTACTCTCTGTTACATAAGAGATGATGTTGGGCTACAAAAATAAAAATGAAAGATTAGTGATACAGCTAGAGGAGGGGGTGAAAATGGTAACCTAGAGAGAAGTTTGAAAACAAAAGGCTAGTCTAGCCCTCTAGCATGCATTGCATTGGCTTGACTAATGAGACTTGAGTTTTGATTGCTTGAGGCTTCTTGTGAAGATGGGAAAGATCAAAAGAGTCCTTGACATGTTTAGAATAAGTTTTATGCTAATAGTTTATACATTAAAAACAGACTAAACTAGCTAGTTTTTCTGATTATCATTTATTATAATATATTATAATATATTATTTTCTGATTATCAGACTTTAAGGTTGAGTTCTCTGTACTTCTGCAGGTTTCAAAAACTTTGAACAAGCATGTGACCCATGTAGTCTTCAAGGATGGACATTTGGCTACATGGAGAAAGGCACAGAAGATGGGTGTAAAAATAGTTTCTGTACTTTGGGTGGAAAAGTGAGTACTCTTGAATGTAACAAATGTGACCCATTCCAGACATAAGATCCTAGTGTTCTATTTTAAAACTTAAATACAGTACCTGTTTTTTAATGTAGTTGAAATATTGATAAATCTGAGTAAATAACTTTTCTATGACATTGTTCCTATTATAAAGCATGTTACTTGCATGAAAAGGTAATGAAAAATGAGTATGTTGGAAGTAGTTCTGTAGTATGTGTTAATCATTCAGTGTTCCACTCCTTTGTTTTCAGATGGCATGCACAGGCAGTGAAGACCAGATATTTATGTTGAATGCAATTTTTCCAGTTTCATATGAAAAAGTACATTTCATCGGGGACATTGTACTGTTCCTGTACTTAAATGCTGTAAACAGAGTATCTCCTAGCAAGAAAGAAAGATCCATATGTAGTCTGGCTTTTAAGGCATTTGGCAGGTTCAGAGCAGGACTGCTTGAAGATTTGCAAGTACTGTATAGAAGAAGTTAAATTTAAAAAAAAAAATATCAAATTTCAGCTCTGCAGCCAGTCAGTGAGAATTTGCTAGTCCACAACTGCGTCTCAGTTTATGAAGTGATTGTGAGGCCTAACTTAGATTTCAGATGAAGTGTAAGAACACTTACAGTGTTTAAGAATATGTTCTACTCAAACAATCCAATCAATTAATTGCTGTGGTGAAAATTAGAATATAGCTCAAGTAAAGAGGCGCTTTCCTGTACTAGTTGTAATATGCAAGAAGAGATAGAAGTCTAAGTGCAAAAATAGAGGGGGGTGGAACTGAGCTCTGCAGCCACTTAACTGTAGGCCAGTACAATGCAGAACTTGTGATGCAAGTCCATTAGCCAAAAATATTCACACAGTTCTGCAGAAGTAGGGTTTTTCTTTTTTTCAAGAATATCAGATACAGAAGTTATAGCTGCACAATGCAGCCAGTTTTAACACTGAGGAAAAAATACCTTAAGTACTCAGAAATAAGAGTGTAGCAAAATTTTATTTATGTGAATATATCTTTTGGTGACATGGTGCTATCTGATGGCTAAGTGTATAAATACCTGTTGTGGTTTAAACCCAGTCAGCAGCCAAACACCATGCAGCTGCTCTCGCATCCTCCCCTACCCAGGAAAATGAGGGGGAGAACTGAAGTGGTAAAGGTAAGGGGACTTGTGGTTTGAGATAAAAACAAATAATTGAAATAACATAATCATAATGATAATAGCAACAAATAACAACAGAAAATACAAATGAGAAATGCACAATGCGATTGCTCACCACCTGCCAACCAGTGCTCAGCCTGGTCCTGGCTAGTGATCCCAGAGAAGCAAAATCCTGAAACTACAGTCGTGGCAGCAAGAGAGCTTCCCCATCAACCCTCATCTCTACAATGAGCATGATGTTACATGGTATGGAATATTCCATTTGCCAGTTTGGGTCCATTGCTCTGGCTGTGTTCTCTCTCAGCTTCTTGTGTACCTGTGCACTGGCAGGAAAGTGGGAAGTTAGAAAGTCCTTGATTTCTTGGCAATGTTCTTTCATACCAAATCCATACTGAATCCAAAACACAGAACTATTCTAACTACTAAGAAAAAAATAGCTCTGTCCCAGCTGAAACGAGGATAGTATGGAATTTAAAACCTTAGTCACAGGAACTATAAACTGAGTACTTAAATGTGCTATAGTAAAAAAGGATCCCAGAACAGTCCAGGTGAGTAGCATCTGCAATGGAAGGACTGCTTTACAGGAGAGAGTTTAGGATGTATCATACAAAGATGCTGTATCTGAGAAGTTCCACCCCAAGACTCCCCTCTGCAATACTAGAAGGTATTGAGTGGATGAATGCTGTGGAAAGCTCAAACATAGACAGCTGGATATGTGGTACTGTAGGGGACAGCTCGGAGCTTTGAGATCTGGGTGTGAAAGCCTCGGGAAACCTAACTGTTGCTGGATACTAGTAACAAAGGAAAAGACAGAAGGAAGAATTTGGAAGGACAACCTAAGATGTTTCTTAGGAAAGAGAAGACCAGCATCTTCCTGGTATTTTTTTTAAGTCTTCCTGTTGTCATGCTCTGGACAAGGCAAGGTCTTGCTATATGGCTTAGAAGATGAGCTTCATTGGAATGGGGGAAATCATCTGAAATAATGAGATGTATTTTATTGCGGGCTGGAGAGGCAGAGGGAAGACAACACACCCAAGCTGCAAATTATGATTGAATTTCTCTAATGTTTTTTTTCTGCCCTTAATGCCAAAAGATACTCAAAAACATACACCTTAGATTGATGTATACTCTAGGTAGAATTCATACTTAGCTTAAGGATATAATATTCTTATAGGTCAGGAGCAGTAGAAGTTTACAATTAGACATCGTAGTGAATAGTCTTACTCGTCATAGGGTTATTCAAATGACACATAAACAATACAATGAGTCTGTGTTAGGATATGTGCTAATTTTTTTTTGTAATAAGATGAGGGAACTGGAGTTCCTGACTAAATTATATTCCTAGTATATAAATATCTCAGAAATTTTGTGGGCATAAGACAGTCTGAGTCCTGGGACAATGTAAAAGGAAGGACTGAATAGTCTGTGCCAGTAAAATAGTGGTCCTGTTTGAGCCTGATATCTATGTAAGCAAATAATGCAGGGTTCATATGAGTTGAAGTTTTAGCATCACTGAAAAAAGATAGCTTGATTAATCAGCTGCTCCATTCAGTAGCAGGTGGAACATTCTCATAATGGTCAGAAATGCTGTGAAATACCACTTCAGGAAATGTAATAGTAAAGGACAACTTTCTAGTGTAGCCTGGGGATGAGGTGACTCCTGTTGGCATGTGGTGCAAAGACAAATATTTTAGGTATTGCTTGATTTGTGGATGGTTGTTCAGATTATTTCAAAGAACTTCTTGTATGTGTGGCCAGTTTAAAATCAGTGTTCATGCTGGAACAGCAAAACCCAAAAAGTTCTGTGACAGTGCTCAACTTCTTTTAAAAGAAGTAGTTACTTAAAAGGAAACAAGTTCTGTTAAGCAGAAGCTAAGACAGTGAAGGGAATGAACCTCCTTCTGGTGTCAAGAAGATTATTTAAAGCATAAGTCCTCTTAAGTGTATTGGAAGGAAAATGATCATCACAATGTGTGAGGTGAAAATTAAGATTTTTGCTACTTAGAGTAAATGTTTTCATGGTGTTATCACCTCAGTCAAAAATCAAAAAACCTCATGTAGTGGCATGACAGCATTCTATCATGGAGTGTTGTGAGAAGATAGCAATGAGCATGACTGAAGTTATAAAATAGTTTTCTTACAAGATGTGATTGAAGAGGCAGGTTTTCTTTAGCTTGGAAAACAAGTGGGAGTGATGGAGAGGCTCTTGTGAACACAAAGGTTCTTATGGAGAGCCTGAATAGAAAAAATGTGTATTGCCTTTTCCAGTAGAAGAATTGGAAAGCATCACATGAATCTGTATTCAGAGAAAACAGTGAATGATGTTTTTTAGCTGTAGACTACAGAACAGAACTAATGATGGTTAGGCTGTAGAACTCCTTGTTGCAGATTCATAGTCAAAGATTTACATGGGTTTTAAAAAATGATGAAGCAATTAAACATTTAGTTTTATCAAAAACCAATACAGTATTGCATCTGACAACCTCTAAACTAGAAATCTGTGGAACATAGCAAAGTAAACTGAGTGTTTGGCTTTTGTTCATGTTTTTACGTGCTCTTGGGAAGCTTGATATTGGCAAGAGGATGCTGCAGTATACAGTGTTTAATCTGAATGCTACTTGTTGATATTTGAGCTCTGAAAACACCAAACAAGGAAGCAGATCAGAAACAATTACTCCAGCATTTCCTGATACTTCTGCTTTGTGCCTAATACTCTTGACTTAACAGCTAGGGGACACCTACTTCTAAACTGTTACACATGTACCCTATTGTTATCTTCCCCTCAGCAGTGCTTGTGCCTCTCAGGAGAACATGCCCTATGATTTGAAAAATACTGTAATACTCACTTTTCTCTATTTAAAAAAAGCACAAGTTACTAGAGTACAAGGGTTTCTACAGTATTTAGTGAACACTGCCTTTTTGAACTTTTACTGGATTTCCAGTGCTTTCTCCAATGGTCTGCCTCAAACTTGTATTGGAAGCTTCTGCTTTATGATATGAGTATCTATTTGAATCTAAACAATGCAGTACTACAGTTTAATAGGAAGTAATTTGATTGGGAAGACTCTTTAAGATGTCAATTGAAATTCAAAAAAATCCTAACTCCAGAGTAAATGTATTTTTAATTTAAAAGGTTTTGTTTTCTTTTTTGTTTTTGAAAGATGGTAGATATATCTAACAATAGTGTGCAAAATAATGGCCTTGCTATAAGATTCATGCAGATTAATTGTAAGTTTAATGCAAAATGAGTGACAGCTTTGGGATCACTAAAAAAAAAAATTTGAGTGCTTCTTCAACTTAAATACCACAGTGAGCAACCTAAAAAAAAAAATCAAAACACAACTACAAAAAGAACCCTACATAAAATAGAATTGCTACAATCTGTGTCTAAATTAGGAACAGTTAATACTTACAAATCGAACCCATAATTAGGAAACTTTACCTGTGTATTCTTAGTGTAGTAACTCACTCGTATCATAAATAACATAGATAAATCATTTAGATTCAAATTTGTAAAAAATTCTTATATTCAGTGGTCAAATTTTCTTCTGTTTAGCTTCTCTGAATTAATGAAATATCTGAATTTCATGTAATTTTAATGTACATTTTAATGTAGTCTATATCTATGGTGATTATTATCCAGAACATGATAATAGCCACTGAAGTCTGGCATGTTAAATATGATTTCTATTTGATGCTTCAGCAAACTCTAAACTCAGTTAGTTTGACAAATACATTTAGTGGTATAGCTCTTTTAATCAAAACTGAGTGAATAATCATTAGAATTCTACAGATATAAACTTTATAGCAGTTAGATCACTAGGTGTCACTAGAAACACAGTTTTGAATTACTTCTGTGGGAATTCTGTAGTCTGTTAAGGTTCCATACTCTTTCCCATAATCAGGTTTATTATTTATCATTTGAAAATAAAACTGATTTAGGTGTTCTGATCAGAAGAACTTTATTAATAACCAAATTCTTGTCTCAGTGTCATCCTTAGCATTCACAAATACAGCAGATGGTATAATATTCCAAGATAATATTAGTCCCACTGTTCTCAAGTCAGTCTTTGAATATGAAGAGACAGGAAACTAGGGTTAAGGTATCAGTTGGGTTTTTGGTTTTTTATTTTAAAAAAGTTCGTGTAAGTCTCAATTGCTCCTCAATAAGGACCTGTTTTTAGCATTGCATATACGAAGAGGAGACAGAAATCTGAGACTAACGGGCAAGATGTAAAAGCCAGGATCAGGTGAAGCTTCCTTCCTCTTTTGTCTGAATAGTAAAGTTTCCTGCCCTCCCTGCCCCCACCATGACATTCTGTAGATTGCACTTGGTAGTCTACTGACATCACAGTGACCAAGTTAAGGTTAAATTCACTGGCTGGTGAAAATGAAAGCCTGCAGTCCTCACAAAAGTCAGGGCAGGATTCAAGGTTCATGATAATCTGGCCAAGATGACTTAATACAGTGATTTTTTTTTAAGTGTGTGGAAAATAACATGTGAGTGGGGAATCTTTGAGTTTCAAACCATCAATTTAGAGGGCATCATTAGGACAAAAAAAAATTGTATTGTTCTGTATCTGGAATATATAGATTTTTTTTTCAGCTTTACAGTAGTTATGCTAAAGATTCACACCCAAGAAGGGTTAGTATTTCATTGACAGGGCTCAGGTGATTTTTTTTTTGCAATAAAGGTTCTCATTGTTAAAAACCAAAAACCAAACAACCAAACCTTCTCTATTATATAGGTGTCGAGAAACTGGAGTACATGTTGATGAATCCTTATTTCCTGCAGTAGACACTAATGAAGGATTGCCACTACTGAGCAAAAAAGTATGTGATTTTTTTTTTAAATAGGCCTAGAGAATAAACTTTAAAGTTTGACTTTGACTTCCTGACCTCAGGCATTTGAACTGTTTAATTTCAGAATGTTCTGTAAACTCTTACCTATCCAGTTGAGTAGGTTTTAAGTCACATGTCTGATGTGACATGTTATCTGAAGAAAGGATCTGGTGAATCTTTATACTGGTGAATAAAGAAATGAAGACTTAAAATGACATAATGATTAATCAAAAAACCACGACTGCAGTCTGCAGTGTGGCTTATGTTTCACTGAGTTGACAAACCTTAAAGTCATGGTATTTAAAAAAAAAAAAATAAAAATAGATCTTTCAAGCCTTAGCTTTGTGTGGCAAGAGCACATACCCCCTGCAAGAGCTAGGGCTTTTAAGGTGGTAGCCACTGGCTCTTTCATGCCCCTATTTTCACACTTATGTGCCCAGCATAGTTGCTGTCATGTACACACCCTGGCCTGATGCACACCAGCACCCCCAGACCAGCATCCCCCTCTCCATGTCAGGAAAAGGGAGGTGGGACCCCTGGTCAACAGACAAGGCTCTCAGCCAACAAAATGCCTTAGTTGAGAGAAGTTTCTAGAATGCTGACCATATATGACCACAGTTCAGATCCAGCCAGGCTATAACATGGTCCCCCTGCCAGAGACCCCCTTTGAGAGGTTCTCCTTGGAGCAGCAGGTCTGTGACTGGAAGCTCTCTTCTTGGGACTGGGTTTCCACCCAAGGAGACTTCCTGGGATTGAGTCCCCTCACCTTCCTTCCTCTCCCCTTCTGCCCCTCAGTGAGTGAATACTTCTGGATATCCTTGAGTCAGCCTTCATCCCCTTTAGGTGAGTGATTACATGTTCTGGGTACCCTTGAGTGAGAGTTTCTCCTTCAGTGAGTGAGTGTGTGCACACTTCAGACTCATCATTCTTATGTGTCATCGCCCTTCTGTGGTGTTATGTAGTAATAACTTCCACAATTGGTACACCATACTTGTAGTTTGCTAAATGTTATCGGGGCATTGTTTTGGTTACCCCAGTTGTCTCGTTGGCTTTGGCTGTTTGGATTTGGTTACAAATTAAAGTTAGTTATAAATAGTTATTATCTATGTGAAGCTGCTTTGGTATACCTCCATAACACTTTGCTACAAGCAAAAAAGAAAAGATGGTTACTTGGTCTTCTTTTTAGTAAAATCGAACCTAGAAAAATCTGTTAAGTTCTTATTTCATTATTAAAGTTCATTTTGAAAAATGTTAACTTCTACAATTATCTGTGACTCTTAAGGTGATAATAGTAGCATAAACACTGATAATACTGTGATAAAGCTGTAGGCAAATAGGAAGTGTAGTTACTTCTGGAAGTTTTATACTGTATAATTAACAGCTCTGTGTGTCTTCTAGCACAAATGTATGCAGCCAAAAGACTTTGTTGAAAAAACTCCAGAAAATGATAGAAAGCTGCAGAGAAGACTGGACCAGATGGCTAAAGAATTAGCTATACAAAAGATAGCAATTAATGCTGGTAAGAACTACTTTGGACTAAGAATCAAATATCTTATTTCTTTTAAACACTTGATGGTTTTTTGTTCTGTTTTTTTACTTTTATCTCACCATGAGAAATAAATTCGACTTTTCAGCGTACTTTGCTTGTTTGTGGTGTTAAGGCATGGCGATACTGGGTATAAGGAACCTGATTTTTTTCTTTTTTTAAATAACTTCTGAAGCTGTTATAGTATGGAAATACTAATGTACAAATGCAATTTCTTTGTGTAGAAACTGATGTACCAGTTTTACTATTTGAAGACAATGGTTCACTTGTATTCAGCCCTGTTAAAAAAGATCAGTGCAGTGTAATGGAAAGAAGAATAAGGGAGACAAAGGAAAAAAGAGATCTTTCTCCTACTGGTAAGAAGTTAAATTTTACTTATCCATGAACATGCACAAATGGCTACCATCTTTATTGCTGAAATTTGGGCACACTTGTCTTGCTCTGGCCTTCAGAATTTTTTTATCTTACTTCATTGCAGGTCCTTCTTTCTTCCTGGGTTTTGAGTAGGTGTGAATGCTTTAGCTATTAGTTTCTATTGAAGGTCTGTGCTGGGTTTGTGTGGGGGGGTTTTGGTAGTGGGGGAGGGAGCTACAGTGGTGCCCCCTGTGAGAAGCCTCTTAAAAGCTCTTGGGGTTCCACGTTGGACCTGACTTTGCACCAAGGCTGAGCCAATTAGCGATGGTGGCTGCGCCTTTGCAATAACGTATTTAAGAAGGGGAAGCCTGAGAGGGGTTGGGACTTGTGAGGAGGAGTTATGAGAGACACCTATGCGAACACTGAGATTAGTGGAGGGAAGGAGGAAGAGGGGAAGGTGTGCCAGAGCAGAGAAGCCACCCCTGTATGCTGTAGTGAGACTTCAGGGCTGCCCCTTGCCACCATGGAAGTCCATGGTGGAGCAGATGCCAACCTGCAGCCTGTAGAGGACCTCACACTGGAGCAGGCAGCTGCACTTAAAGGAGGCCAGGACTCAGAGGGAAGAAGCTCCTGCTGTTATAGTTAAGTGCTGGAAGGACTGCAGCACATGAGGGTGACCTGCACTAAGGAATGTCTGTGGCCTGTGGGAAGAACTCATGCCAGAGAAAGTTCATGGAGGACTGTCTCCCATGCGAGGGGAGCCGTGGGGAGCAGGGTGAGAAATGTATAGGAGGAAGGAGTGGTAGTCTGACTGAAACACCCCCATTCCCTTAGCTGCTGCAGGGAAGAGGTAGATATCTGTAATAAAACTGAGCCTGGGAAGAGGGGACAGGTGGGAGGAGGTGTTTTTAAGATGTGGTAATGCTTCTCACTGCCCTACTCTATTAACTGTTTCTTTTGTTAGTGTTTGAATTAACAGTGGTACTTTAGGTTTTTTCTTCCCCTAATGAATCTGTCTTGCCTGTGGTTGTAATGGGATGAGTCATCCCTCTCTGTCCTTATCTCAGTTTCTGAGCTGTTTGAATTCATTTTCTCCTTCCCAGCACTGGGGGCTGAAGGAGTGAGTGAACAGCTGCCTGATGCTTAGTTATACTCTGGGCTCAAACCATGACAAGGACACAAGAAGTCATGAAAGACAAAGATTGCAAAATTAATTTCTTAATCACTAGACTGCTCAAGAAGACTAATTTTTAAGCTAGATTTTCCAAACTTGTAAATTGTTATTATCACAACCTGGTTAAACTTCATACGGTGAGGCTCTAAATCTTATTTCTTGTCAAATTTTAATGTGAGTGCTGTACTTGACAAAGGTTATAATGTTATTACTCCCAGCCCAACCATTTAATAAGCCAAAATTGATCTGTCCAGATATTGGGGAACAGGATTTTAAAAAATAAACAAATTTGAATTACCTAACTGAATAAGTCTAGTTGACTTCAAAATGCAGATCCTGGTGAATTAAATCTAGATTGCAGTTTTCAATTCATTTTTTAGTGTTTGCATTACCTTACTGTGAAATTAGAGAGCTCGAAGTCATTAGATTTTGTCAGTTATTACAGAAACCATTGAAATGTAGAATATCTTTGGGGGAATCTGCAGTATTTGAAGTTTTAAGTAGTCTGTCAGTTAAACTGTCAGTTTTTATAATAATTTCAAAAATAATTTGGGAGGGGGGAGTAAAGAACCAGTGATCCATGGATGAAAAATTAAATCTCATTTATGTATTTTCTCAAGAGTTTTAAGTAATACCTTCAAATGTTTTGAAAAGCCTATCTGTGGTATCAAGGCTTTGCTGTTAATTGCAGAATTTGACCGATTCATTAGTGAAATGCCTCTTACTTAGAAATGTCTAATACTTTCTAAATGGTTTGCCATCATTCTTGAGTTTCAGAGAAATGTGGTGTTGACTTATCTAGAAAAAAAATGCTTAAAATTGTAGAATACCTAGTAGTTTTTTTGTTAGTATGTAACTTTGGGATACTGCTGAGCAGTCTGTAATGATTTACACGGTTATAGTTAGCAAATCAGTGACTTGTCTTACAATTGAGCTGTTCTGAAATATGAATAAATGGTGTGGAAATCTGTATGTTTGCAAATAGTGCTAACTAGTTTATTATTTACAAATTCTTAGCTTCGCAAATGTCTCTACCTCCAAGTAGCTCACCAAGAGACTCCCTGCTGTCTAATTGTGTCTTAACTAATCCAGAAGATGCATTGTTATCAGGTAACTAACACAACTTTATATATTGCAGAAATTAAAAGTAATATGTGCCCTGTATATTTTATTTTGAGAAGTACTGTATACTGAAATGGGAACTGTATATATTTACTCTATGATTTATATTTGAAATATATTTGAAAATATATTTATATTTTAGCTTATCTTAACTGAAAAAGTATGTAAAATAAGAATTCAAGGAAAATGGAGCATGAGGAATCACGTTGGGTAAATGCTTCACCTTACTGTTGTGTAGCTTGCCTCAGTTCCGTTTCTTTCCTCACACCATTCCCCATCAATGGCTTCTTGTATGATGTAGTCTTTGCTCTTAAAGTGATCTTGTATAGAATGCGGAATACACACAGAACAGTGTGGTGTGGGAAGAAGGAAAAAAAGAACTGAATGAGAGACACCTCAGAGCACTGAAATGTCTTCCAAATTTTCAATTGAGAAACTTGAATTTAAAAGGCAACCTAATGTGTTCTCCAAGTATTCAGTGATCAAAGAAATAACCAAAAAATAAATCAGCTTTTAAAATGTTTTGTGGTTGCAGATGAATTCAAGTTGCTTGTTACCAAGGTTCTTAGTCTCATAAAGTTAAGGATTTGTTCCTATATGTTGACATAGTAGCAGGATGTAAGGAAGATTGTTGTGAAGACTGAGGTGTGTCCGTAGGCATCTTAACAGCCTTAATCATATATGCAATGGGTATGTATTTCAGACCTCATGTCTTTGGTCAGTCATACAAGCAAAAAGCTGAAGTCAGATGCTGGTGATTGATCTCAGTAGAAAAGTAAGGAGAAAACAGTCTTTTAGAATTCATAATGAGTGCTACTTTAGTGGTCTGCTTACTCTGTTCTACCCCAGCAGTAAGCTATACCTCATGCTGTTTTCAAGTGTTGCATTTTGTTCACATCATACAGAAATTGTCATTTTATTTTAGTAAATTAGTTGTGTACTCATGAGGTTGAACATCATGATTCTAGAGCTTTACCTTGTGTATGTCCTTCTACCATTATACCTGCACGGTGTAATTTTACATGAACTGTACCTCCACATTCCATGACAATATTCAGTGTAGCTTCCATCTCTGATGCTCTGTGACAGTGGTCCTTTTGTTTGTTCTTGCAGGACACAGAGTATGTTGATTAATAATGGTTTAAAAAGTTCCAAAATCCAGTTTAATTTGGAGATTAAAGTTAGACTTTTTGAGTTGTCAATATGGGAGTCTGATCATCTCATGTGAAACTTCTCCTTTCATCTCCTTATATATCACTTTTCTGAATTTAGTTAGCTACACCATGTGTTAAAAAATATTATTTATGTTTAGTAAGCAAATAACATCAAGACTTTTTCTAAAACCTACAGGAGCACTTAAAGGAGCATTGCTGAAACTTTGCATGTATTTAAACAAAAGAATCTATTTCAATAATCAGATTAGACAAACAATTTTTAAAAATTATTCTGGATAATCAAAGATTCTAGCTTGTTTCAGAGGAATTTATTGTAAAGTTTATTAATGCATTCTGTCTTAACACCTCCTGCAAAATCATTTCATAAGAATAGCTACATTAAATTATCTATTTTTCCACATTCTAATTATCTTTAATACATTGTGTTTATGTATGGGGTATGATACTATGATGTTGTATTTCATTTTATCTTAACTGCAAAAACTGAGTTGGTGATAATGCTGTTGTAGTAAATATTATTATTGAGTTTCCAGTATTACTGTAGCTACCTTTATCAGGGTAAAATCTTGCCATTTTCCTCCAGAAATGCAAGAGTGAAAGGGAGTTTCTCTGCTTTGTTTCAAGAAAGCAGAACATGACTTATGGATAGTTATTACCGTGTAAGAATATATACTTAAAGCTATTGTAGCTTCATGTCAACATAGAATGGACTTTGTTTCTAATCCATTTTGTTTAGTTTTTGATGACTTGCTGTATAATATCCAGAGAAGTGGTTAAATCCTTGCTTTCTTCTTCCAGTAGTTTCATGTGTATTTTAGTAAGAGATCTGGTACTGTTTCTTTTTTTTTAAATACAGTTACCACTTCTTGTATTTTGCAGGAGAGCAAATGGAAGACTGCTTGAACTCAAGTTACTATCTTTGTGGAACTGATAAATTAAAGAGAGAGAAAACAGACATAGACAAACACACCTGTGATACTTGGACTGACCTGCATGTATCCAGGAGTGCATCAGTGAATTCCCCCTCACATAGCTATGAGCAGAAGAACTTAACACCAGAACAGCATAGCAGAAGCTTAACAAGGAAACAGGTTTTGCTTCACACTTTGGGTGATAAATTGTCTTTAGAAAGGAAAGATCTAAAAAAGTTTCCAAAGAAAAATCAGAAGGATAAGAATAGCACAACTACTTCAGTTGCAAACAAAAGGTCTCTTCTCCACATCAAGGGCTCAGGTCATACTACTTATTCAAAAAAAATAGTCAAGTTAAATACTGTTCCTCCTTTCATTTGCAGTCTCAATAGTTCACCTACGAACAGTGAAGACTTAAATACATGTTCTTTGGATAGAAGCTTCCCTGCTGACAGAAAGGATTGTATTCTTGACAAGAAGAGAAAGAAAGGACCAACACTATCTAGTTTGAAACTGGCTGCCTCAGAACTGGGTGCATCAGGGTCTGAAGAGTTCTTGCAGGCAATTACTACATATAACAAGTCTTTTTGCACTGAAGAGTCTTCTTATGAAGACTTCTTTTCATCATCTGATTTGAATGAAAATAAAGTACAGATACAAGTACCAAAGGAATTGCAGAGTTCTCCTGAAGCTTGTTGCAAAGACTTTTTTACAAGCATGGACTTACTTAATGTAAGCTTCTCTATGCCACATACTAATTCCAAAAAAAGTAGGAAAAAGTCTTTTCCAGCAATTGATGTTTCAGTAGAGAAAAACTTCAAACCAGCTGAACATCCCAGAAGTGTGCCATTAAATTATATGTCAGATGGTGAAAAAGCTGACACTGCAGAATCTCTTGAATCTGATGATGTGAATAGGCTGCCTCAGCAGGCTCATGAAAAATCCTGCAGAACCAGTGTGAATTACTGTACTCACACTACTGGTAAGTAGCTACATAGAGCTGGAAAATGAAGTTATCATGCTGCATTAGATATGCAACTAAATTGCAAAATGGACTTCTGTTCCCAAAGGAAAAATACTTCATAATTGCACCAAAAGAAGAAAATACTGCAGTACTGAGTTATTTTACTCAAAAATAAAGGAGTGTGTAAAATACAATAGAACACCCATTTGTTTTCCCATACATTACAAACATAAAGAAGTTACCAAGAGGTAATGGAACTGTGCTCACAAAATGCAGCAAAAGTACGTGAGCCGCCTTTTCCCCTAATGCTTGGTGTTCTGTAAACTCTGCTGCTATTCAAAATCTATTTAAGAAACCACAGTATTTCTGGTTTAAATATTATGCTGCTCTTGTAACTTGTTTATAAGTAACTCCTCATCATAGGGTCCCTTGTTCAAATTACATTTATTTCACAAGTTCACAAATTGCTACTTTACATTAATTGCAGTTAAGGACATAAAATCTCAAAAACATTTGATTTGGCAATTTCTAACTTGTGAGGGCATATGCAAGAGTAGCAATGTAAGCATCTTTTTCAACCATGAATTTTTTTATATAGAACTGATCTTTGTTTTTAATAATAATTTTAAGAATAAAATATAATAATCATCTGTATCCCAGCTGAAAGCAGGACAAAGTAATTTTTATATTTGAGTGTTTTCAGGTTGGTTTACCCTAAGTTATTTCAGTGTAAATGTATACTAAATGTTGAATCTCAGGAACTTTTCTGAAAAATGCTCCCAACTTGCATTGGGGTAATTGCTTTCAGATGTTGATATTTTGAGCTCTGTTTGTCAAGCCTTACATAGGGTTAAATACTTGCACTTATAATTGTTTATTATTTGGTTTTGCTAGAAAATTCTGTGGCAGTGCATCAGTGAATTATATAAAATTAATTATTAATTTAAAAGCATCAACAGACTTAGTATCAGACTTAAGAAATCATCCAGTGGAAATGTTGAATGGTGACTGTGGCTATATCTGTGAGTAAGTTGCTGAACTGTGAGCTGTTCTTTTGGGTTCACTATATCTGTATTTTAATACCTGGAGTGTATCATTAAAACACAGTTTAAAAAAGTTGATGCAAATATGTTATACAAGTATAAATCTACACTCACATATGTATGAACCCACCATTTGTTTTTTGCCATGTGGCAATGTACTAGCAGATGATCCTTAAATTATGTATGTTAATGTCAAAGAACAGTTTCGTTTTCATTAAACAATCAAAACAAATGTGGAAGGAGAAAAATTTTACTACTTTTAAATTCAGTGACATTGTATGATGGAATAACTGATTTTATTAAATACAGGTTTAATATTTCCTTTTTTTGCTTGAATGTAAGTTATTTCTTGTGCCTGTCAATTAGTAAATAAATAGTGCTTTGTTTTTCTGTATGTTGTATGTGATTTGAAAACTGGAAAATACAGTATATTTTTAAAAGCTAAAGAATTATTTTTCTCATCATATATACACAGTTAGGAGTAATCAAATATCTATATAAAATTGTATATATTTTAAAAATCAAACACTTTTCATGCTTATTTTTTCCCTGTGAATTTGTTTGTGGCCCTCCTACCCAGAGACTTTAATGACAAGGAGTAAGATGTTATAACCTTTCTTTCCATAGACTACTCAAAACACTTGGTTTTAAAGTAGAAATGTAATGTGCAGCCTAATTTGAAACTTAATTTTTCAGGTCCCAGTGTTGTAGCAAACTTCACATACCTTTGTAGGGTACATTCATGGCTGCCCACATGTTCTGCTGAGCAGTGCAGGCATAAACATGGCTATGTATTTTCATCTTACTCCAAGTCATAGTTCAAGTAGAGAACTGTGACAGATACAAGAGTTGAAATTAATTAGGTCTTATAAGAATATTAAAAGATGCTTTTCTATTCATTCACTTTCTCAGCTTTGTTTCTGGAGATGAAATTAATTTTCTGCCCTAAGCCAGCCATACTCATAAATTTCAGTGCTCTGTAATCAGTAAGTGCTGTGTAACTGGCCTTTGTGTGTCGGTGCCTAAATTTTTAGCAGTTACAAAGTGAGGAAAACGGTGGCTTTTCTGTCTTAAATACAATTATATAATGCAATAATGCTATCCTTCATGAAAGCTGATGATCTGTGTTACTAGGAGATTCTAAGAAATTCTTTGTCATTCATGTTGTAAATTGATTTGATTTATTTTGAAATCCAGTCCTTCTGCTTATTACTTTTTTTTAGAGCTCATGGTAGGGTAAGTTGGCACTTGAACCACATGGATTAGAATGCCAATACTTGCTCAGACTTGATGACTTCCTATGACTTCTCTTTGGAAAGCCACAACAATGAATAATACTGGGCAAGGAATGCACGAATACGCTCTTTTCAATTTTTATCATCCTAAAATAATTTAGAAATTTGAACTGGAACATACCATTATTTCCATTCTTAAAAATAAACATAAGGCTTAGCTGAGTTAATTTTAGATATTTATGGTGAATATGGGAGGCAAGTATCTTAGTTGATCATAAGACAATAAGCTAAGACCCATTATAGTGTAATTAATGTAGTTCAATGTTAAGATGGGGAATCTGGAATATCATTTTGTTATTTGTTGCAAAAATTAAGTTTAATTTAGATGAATGAGTTACTTGAGGTTTGAGGTTCTAGGTGCTTAATGCTGCTAAAAAACTGTTTGTCATTATGAAACACACATATGAAAAGTTCCTTAGATTTTATATGCTTTTTGTCTTCAGTTTTGGAAGAAGGCAGGCTCACTAAAAATATTGTATGATGTCCTCTATTGACATTTTACCCTGTCTTTAAAAAACAAATGAGGGATGAAGATGAAAACTATTTCTTACTTGATTCCTTGTTTTGTTTATCCTCATGAAAACTTTAATTGTAATTATTAAAACAAAAATGGACAAATTTCTGAATAGAGGAACAGGTTGAGGATTATTTTGATGTCCTTAAATTACAAAGCCTGTTGACACTTGTCCTAGAGTGCATGACAAACATACAATTGTTCTAACCATTAACAAGTTCTGTTTGAGAACTTGGTTGGCATGTAAGCTTTCAGGAGACTTGAAGAAATAATGTTCTGAAAAGCAAAAAGTCAGTATTTCTCCCTGCTGGAATAATAACTACAACACAGCAGAAGTTATTCAATGTTCTGTGCATACAATGATGACAAATTCAGACAATTTCTTCATAGTTGGGATAAACTTAATTTCAGTGATACTTCATTATCATTCGTAAAGTAGAACACTGCTATAGATAAAATTTTTCAGATAGACATGATTCATTTGATTGAACAGAACTAGTTTGCTGTGCCTAATCATTACTTTGCTTTTTAACTCAAAGGAAATATCAAGTGGAACTTGAAGATAATATTTGGGTTCAAAACTTCTCACTGATAAATGATCATGAGTATAAGAGGTATAAATTGCAAATTAAAGTCACTGATTTGCTACAATACTTCGTAGTGCTATCAGAGTTGTTGATTTTGACACTAGTCATTGAGCAATGTTTTAGAAGAGAATTTAGGGGATCTAATGGACCACAGTGGCATGAGTTAGCTGCATATTTGAATTAAATTTAGGGATAACTGCATGTCAACTTTATCTGAAATAACCTAGGAAAAGCTACTAAAGATTAAAACCCCTTAATTGTGACTGAGCAACTGCATTAAAAAAGCAGTCAGGGAAAAACAGGCAATAGACAGTGAAGCTTGAGACCTACAAGATGGAAAAGCTGGGAAGTGTTTGAGAAGTCCTGATAGGAGAGAAGTAGGAACTGGATTACAAAGAACAGTCCTCATAGATCCCTGAACTGATAATCAGAGATGATGGATGTTGTCCCCTGTTTCTGCTTTCCTGTAAATCTGAAGAACAAATGAGAGTGAACCCTAGCTGAAATGAGTTCTGAGCATACAGGTCTTGAGACTTTCCTTGCAAGTGGGTCAAGAGCTGCAGAGCTTGAGCATTCAGGCCAAGAGTGGCATAAGGAATATTACACCACTTCTCACTGCTCCCTCCCCAAGCCACCCCTCAAAAAACCCTAAACTAGTGGATCTTCCTTTTACAGTGACTGAAGTAACTTACTGGAAATTGAGACATACCTAGCTTTACCCCCATCTGCTCAGGATAAGTGATCCTGACAACCTTTGCAGTCCTGTGCTGGGGTTTTATTAAGATTCAAAAGATATGTTTATAAATTTTTTTCCATGCAAAATTACTTAAGTTTCTTAGCTTTATTTGATTGCGTGGCAAGATTTTTCTCCTCAACTGTTTGCCATCAGTCTTGCTCAGTGATTGAAGATTATGGGCCTCAGTGCAATACTAAAATTGACGTAGTTAAGTAATTAGTTCTCCCTTTTTTAAATGACACTTTGTATTTAAATATTGAGTTTAAATTAATGAGTGTACCTGAAAGCCAGGGTTACTTGCATTACACAAGAGTTACTGTAATACTGCATAAATTCACATGAAATGTGAAACTTCAGTGTGAAGAAGTCATTAAATTTTCACTAGTTTTAAAGTTATAATTTTAAAATAAATAACTGGTAATGGGAAATTATGTCACCATTTTTTGTGTTGCAATTTGTTGTTCAGTCATCTCAAGGATCAAGAGTTTAAGTAGCTGATAGGGGAAAAACAAATGATACGTAGTTATATATGCAGTCAGACTAGTAAATATGGATAGTACCCTTCAGTATTTTCCAAAAGTAATCAGAAGCTTATTTGGGAGGAGTTGAATTTAGACCACTTTAATCACTAATTATTAAACTTTCTTTAACTGGTCTCATGCATTTCTCTGAAATTAAAAATTAACTCATGTCCTGAAGTAGACTCCATTGAATTAAATTTGGGAAAAATTATCTATTTAAATATTCAGTAGTTATGACTTCATTGATCAAAAGATAGATCAAAGTTTTTCATCTTATGCAAGCAAGTTAATTTCTCAAATGTTCAAAAGCTTATTATTTAGTGCTTATAAAAGTCATCCTGACAGTGTTGAATTAAATATATGTTAATTCACAAAATACTTGATGAAAAATACTGCCTTTTTGGCAGCCACATTATAGTACATTCTTATGGATGATGCCTTTTTATAAATAATAGGACTGATATGCCTTCATCTACATGCAATCTTTGCCTGATAACAGCTCTGCTAGATTTGCTTGCAGAGTGTTTGAAAACACATTTCAGACCTTCAGGTCATTTCAGATAAACATTGTGTGTGTATTGAAAGCATTGACATTTCAGGAGGAAAGGGAAGATAGCCACCATTTCTTCAACTTCAAATATCTCTGTATTCAGAGAAATTGCAGATTTTGTAATAAATAGCAATTTAGCTGATTCTCTACTTCTAGTTAATGTATGGTTTTCAAAATATTGGAAATCAGGAGTTTTACAGCTAATTCATTCACAAGATCAGATGCAAGATCAGAAAGATGAAGCCAGATGTTTGGGTGTCATGCTTTTTTCTGTAACTGAAATACAATGAAAAAATAACTGGTACAAATTATTCACTTAGGTATCTTAATTGTACATAGCTATATGTGCTATGATAAGTGGTGGCAGTTTTATTTCACAAGGTTGCATTTTTCATTTCAAGTTTCTAAATTTGGTTTCTAGGTGATGAAAATGAAATTTCAGTGTGTCATGTTACTGATGGATCTTGCAAAGTTTTTAATAAATAAAAGGATAAGCATGATGGGGGCTTAAAAGAAGACTTCAAAAGGTGAGTTTAACTGGACGTTTGTTAAGCTCTTTCTTTTTCTTGAAGAATCACTGAATGCCTTTGTATGTACAAAAAAAAAAACATATTTTCCATGCACTATTAATTTAAAACTCTTTCTGAATCTCACTTTCTTGGAAATACATTCAAAGACAATACATATAACCATGGAACTCATCTTTCTGGTAACTTGTGGTGGCAGAGTCCATGCCAAGTTGATGTTATAAAGAAGGTTGGTAAGCCAGCTCAAACTGGTTTAGTTGAAAAGCTGCTAAAGTAAACTGAAAAGATGCCTATCCTTTCTGGAGGAGTTACTAAATGGGGTAGAGATTTTTGTTTTATAGTGGATCATACCCCATGGATGTTTCTGCAGGATAAAGATTTATACAATATTTTCTTCTAGGTAAAGCTAAATTTCTTATTATTTGAGTTCAGTTTGGATATAAGAAAAGTGAGAGGACTGGGTCAGCACTGAATCTTTTTTAGGTGTTTTTTCCTTGTAAAAGTTTTTTCTAAGTAAATATAAAACTGATAGTGTTCTTTTTATCAGTAAGTAGCAAGTCATACAATTAAAACAAGCACTGAATTGTTTTGAGAATGGGAAGTCCTAAAGCAGTAAAAGATGTCTGAGGTAAGTAATTATATGAAATAAATTAGACAGGTGTTCACTGGTAGCTATATATGGAGTTTCAAAGAGATTAATCACAGATTTTGATCCTCTTTTATGTAAAAGGTCAGAGCAGGTGAAATTACTAGACTGTTCATCCTTTTAAACATCTTGAAGAATGGGATATTAATCTCCATGAACAAGTGATCTTCTCTGAGTTAAAATTATTTTACTTCTTGCCTCTGTCTTACTGCTTGTTAAGTATTTTTTCACTTTGTTTTCCTAAATGCATATATCTATATTATTTGTATAACTAATAACTCTAAGTATTATGTAGAATGTTTAAATCAACTTCACTCTAGATCCTTGTCCTATAGAAATATAAGATCTAAAAAGTCTACTTTTTAGACTAAGGCATCTATCCAGAACAGTTTCATTTTCTCACACAGAAATCTGACTAAAGCTGCTAAATGTATATCCACACGCTAGAGTCAATGGTGCTTGGAGATTTATCAGATTTGTTGGTACTGATTCCTTCTCCAGTGTAATTACACTACAAGAGCATTATGTGGTAGGGGTAGTTTTGATTCATTTCTCTGAAGATCCCAACGTATTATATGCTGAAGAGAAACAGAAAACTGTATGAAGTTCTTTTATATTGTTCCCATCTTTGAGACCTGGTCTTGCAGTCAAAGGTGGTATCTTTGAGCTAAGTAGCAGCTGGAGAAAATACCTATTTCAGTGTTTTGAGATGGCTTCTTTCATCCATCTATTTCAGCCATGTGATAATACAATTTGCCTCAAATATCAGTAAAATAGCAGCACATACTCTTTTTTTTCATGTGATGAGTGCTTTGTTTAATGATTTTAAAGGTATCCAGTTGTATTTTGACTGTGCAAGTTCATATAGAGACAACGTTGGACTTTTTTGATTGAAAAGTAAAAAGAACTTCACAAAAAGATCTTACGTGGTTTAACAAGACAGTCTGCTAACCAGACTGTTGCACTGGAAAGTTTTACTTCATGTTCTCCTCAAGCAATTGTCTGTTACTATATTTTAATATATAGTTTATGAATGTCTATTTAAGATCTATTTTCCACTGTTTTTATGCATACGTACATGCAAAATTTTTAAAGCCAATGTTGGAGATCTGTAGGAAATTCTTAGTGAAGCAATTTTAAGAGGATATTGTTTTGAACAAAATTAGACTGTCTAAATCTTTATAAAGAATAAAGTTGTAAAGCTTCTCTAGTGCCAGTCATAATATGTTGTTGAGGCTTTTTAAAAACAACTAAACGTTATACAAATGTTTAATAAAAACTTTTTTCAATGGCTGCAGTTTAAATATTGCAACATTTTGCTAATGTTTGACAATGTGAAAGTTAGAACATTATAGTTTCTTTCCTTTGCCCAAAGCAAAAAGTATATGAGAAATAGTACAAATATTTTTTATTTTATTGAGTCATAGTATTATGAAGAATTTCTTAATGTTTATTTAAATCTTTAAGTTTATGTTAAAAATACAAGTGCAAAAGAAATGCCATTTCCTAGCTATTTTAATGGACTGTTTTCAGAAATGTGATTATTGTGAATCTCTAGACCTTTTATATATAAAACAGAAAAAAACCCCAAACCCTTTAACTTATTGTAGAGGATATGTAGTTCTGTACTGAATAGTTCCAGTATGAGGCTTCAGTTCATAGTGCTGCTGTTCTGGGAATCCATTATAAGTCTAATCTATTAAATTTGTTACTTAGCTATAAGTCTCAATTTGGGGGGCAATATAAATTGCAGTTAGGAGTTTTTTTCATGGAAATGAGAGTTTGAAATCTAGTATCACTTTAAAAACATTTTAGATGTTTGCTGAATGTAATGCCTAGACACTGTCTGAACTGAAACTTTTCAGTTTCTTTAGTTATAACTCATTCACTACTCATTCACAGTGTATATACAGTGAACACTGTAGAACTCATTTGCTGTAGCGAATGCATGTTGGTTGGCATTTAGAGTTCACTATGTGATGGTAAATATTAAAAAAGCCATATAAAAATATTTTAGGAAATATGACCAGACCCAAGTGTTACTATTACTTCCATGGTTATATCATTTTGTTATTTATAGTTTCTTTAATTTAATATAGTAGATTATGTATGCTCTGTTGTGATAGTGTTATGCGTTTGTTTTCTTCAAAACCTCATGTAGATTGAGTTTCATGTATGTTGTCTTAGCTGAAGTTAAAATCAAGAATGTTTTTGTTTAGGTACTTTTATATCACAATTTAAGATTACAAGTACTCCTATTTTATCTACACTATTTATATATGCATTCTTATTGTACTCTAGACATGGAAAAGTTCTAATCAAAGTTATCTAAGATTGTACCGTCAAGTAACAAAAACCATGAAGACAGCACAGTTTATAATGGCAGGTGAGGGCATGTTGGGAAAAGATAAGTAAGGTTTTCAGGAATCTTTAATGGCTTCAGGAACAAACTTTCTAGATTTGAAAAACAACACCACCCCAAAAAACCCAGGACTTTTGGTGTGTTGTACGTATTCAAATGCAGTGCATGAAGACAGATTTATAAAACTGGCTGTAGGTTTGAACCTCTTAGTTTAGAGACACAACAACACAAAATTGAGGATAGCTCCAAATTCTTATGCAGAGTGGGTAAGGATAAACAAGGTGGATTAATGCCTATGAATGTCAGCAGGTGGCTTCTGTGGTCTAGAAATCTAAATTGATGATAATGGATTGCAGGAATAAAATAAAACATTTATGCATTGCGATGTAGTTTTCAGTTATTCCATTGAATTGAATAGATAGTTCTTTGTTGCTTTGCATAGGGGGGGGCAAAGTGAAAGAACTAAAAATAATAAAGCTAAAAATGCGTTCAAACAAGTTAGTTACAGTGGTGTTAATCTGTTGATATGAGTGCTCATTTCATTGCTTAATGTCACAAATGTTTACATTTATCACAACACCTGTTGCATGTGACAAATGTAAACAATTTGTACTTTAAACATATCGGAGAAAGGCTTGTGAATAACCAGTTAACTGCCATTTTTATTCAAAAAAAAAAAAGTTGTTTCATAATTTAGAGGGACATGAGAGGTGATAGATATCTTTTAAAGGATCTAACAGTATTACATCACTAGAAATGCAATTAGAATAAATTTTACACTCAAACTGCTAAAATACTGTCTTCTCAGTGAATAGAAGAAACACTTCAACCATGTGAAAAAAAGTTAAGCATCATGAGCAATAATTAAAACATTTTCACAGAGAAGACAGTATGGACTTCACTGAAATTCCTTCAGTTTTGTTTTTAAACAGATTCATCTTGGCTTGTAATTCTGTAGCTCTTGGATTTGGTTAAAGGTAAAGTTATCAACACTGATCTTAAGAGATTTTTGAGAGAAGAGAAATTGTTTTGCAAATAATCTTAAGCTCATGGTATGTAACAATTAGTGTGAAGCAGGTCACAGTTAGATCCTGTTATTAAAATCCTTCTTTTTGAAAATATTTTATTGATGGCAAAAGAAAATTTAATATCCTGGAAAATCTGTAACTATAAAACATGAATCATCTTACCAGACCATTATTCAAATTGATTTCTTCTGGGTGTACTGATGAGATTAGTGACTGAAGCTACAAATTGTAAGAGTGCTTGCATGGTACCATCGAGAAAGTTTTATGGTATTGACTGTCTCGTCCCACATGGTGGGTTACAAGGGGGTGAATCTTTTGAATTCCCCGAGAGCCTGAGTGCCAGTGGAAGAGCCCATTTCTGCTTGACAGAGCCGCAGGGCAGGCTGAGTCATGATAATGACTCAGAAGTAGAATTGTGCTGATGACTTCATTAACTGACCACTTTGGTGAATGAATGGAGACAATTTGGCACAAATCAACTGATAACCATCTGGCAATGGATAAAGGCACTTTGGCGATGAGGATATTTTCCTAATAACCTGTCAATGATCAACCCATCATAATTCAACTCCTACAAAACTTATACACATGAATATATGTAAGAAAGAGAGAGCAGAAAGAGAAAAGAGAGGAAGAGGGAATAGGAAAAGGGGAAATCACCACCCTTGGATCCCACATTGTCACAGAGTAGCCAGCGTGGTCTATAGGTTGTGGGTTGACCAAGATACATGTGGGGTGTTGCCTTTATATTGTCCTTCTTACACATATGCAGGAGGTTGTTCCAGAAGGTTCTAATTTTTTTCTGGCTTGTACCTGCACAGTTAGACAAGTTCTGTCTCTGGGCAACAACAGGAGGGAAGGGGAGAGAAATGGCCCACTGCGCCACTTTTGCAGAGCTTCCTTTGCGTGTGTGTGTGTCCCCACCATCCCACTTGAGTTGTTTGAGACATCCTCTTTGCAAACA